AGAGAGAGAGAGAGAGAGAGAGAGAGAGAGAGATAGTAAGTGATTTACGCCTCCGTTGCCTCCATTAAGTGTCAAGATTATTTGAGGCAGGCTGCTTTGATCCTGCTTATCAGGGCTGTGTGTGCCTGAGTGTATGTGGAGCGGAGAGTCTGTTGGCTCGCAACCAGGAAATGGAAAAAATAAGCCTGCTCCTCACTTGTCTCCCTTCAAACCAATCGAATACTAGATTATCTGGGTTTATTTCAGACAGGTCCAAGAAAGTAAGTTCCTCGGGAGTATATTCACAGAGGATGGGCGACTGAACATAGAAATTGAAACACTAGTACAAAATGCCAATAATGTTAGTTACCAGCTTATTCCACTACTAAAACATCCTAACATCCTCATGACAACAAAACTCAAAATGATCAACACCATAATAATATTGATATTGATCCCAGGGGCGGCTCGTCCAAAGAGCACGGTCGTGCACTGCCGCCCAAAAATGTTTGCGCACAACACCCACAAAGAGACAATAAAAGAACCTTTACCATCCACCATCCAATCAGTTTTCCGTACAAGTTATCTCCAGAACCTATTCGCACATTACAACATCAACAGCAACTCTACAACATCTACTATACCGTATCAAGTTCTTGCGCTTCACCCAAGTAAAAAATAGTATGTTCAGTGGTGTCATCTATCTCGGAAAATGCTCTATGGGATGACCCAAACAACGATGACGTTTTGACTGAGTTTCTTAGTTCATAAATATTAATAAGGCGGCACAATCTCAATGTGCACCAGCCGAACAAAGCCCATAGAGGCAGTCTAAAAATAACGCGATCTCAGACCAGTTCATGGTAGCCTACACAATTCAATGTCCGTATTATGATAGCTTTGGAGCAATCCACCGGAGTGCTCCCAGCGATGTGCGATTGGTCCATTGTCTTGCTATTTATATCTCTAGCCCCACCTCTGTAACCCTGAACTTGAGCGAGGTCAACATGACGTAATTGGGTCATTGTGTTAGAAGTTGGAATGGTGTAGTGGTGAAAGTTTTTAGTTTTATTATTCAAGTGTGTATTCCAATGCAGGATGAATGAAGTTGATTGCATATAAATTCAGTTCACCAAACAAAGTAACAAGAAGAGAGTGAATAAATTAAATCTTCACCAACCCAAAAATATCAAAATAATAAAATGAGTTTAAAAAATGGAGTGGCTTACAGTCAGCGTTAGCAAATTATACTCATGGATTAGGCCTACTGTTTCTCCTGTCTGCTTTTTGGAACTGAGGACCCCAAGTAGTCTCAGGTTTTACCGATCTTGTCCATGTGAAACAACGCATTAAAGTCAAAAGTCACCAAGAGCGCACGTAAAAAATGCCGTTAAGTAGCAGCTAGTCGTAGGTCATCGCATTGCAACGTCTCACTATAACGACCTAGAGAGAAAGAACAGACACGTATTGTGTAAGGTTATCGGGTGTATTTTGTCCTGTGAAACTCACGAACTCGCCCTTCGCGGTCATGAAAAGGGTGATTTGTCGGGGAACAGAGGTATTTTTCGCTAACGCTACGCAGGCTCTTCGACATTTTTTGCCCACTCTACAAAATGCATCTGCGTTTGTCACCGGAATATTTCATGGCCGTCTGAAACAAGGTGGAACTTACAGTCTCGACTAATTAGCGCAGTCTTCATTGGGAAAGGAGAGATCCAGTTTTTGTCTTGAAGAAATTCAGTCTGAGCACTGGGACGATAATTCCATCCGCGATGGTATTCTGAATGTATTAAAGAGCGAAACATTTTCTCTTCTTTTTGCACTTTTTCAACAAAGTGTTCACGCACGTTGACGATGTTTATGGGATCCTCTAACACAGAAGTACAACGCCCATAGCAGCTTAACAAGTTCTAGACACCTTTAAAGTAGCTGTCGATGAAATTAGAAACAGTATACTTGTTCCACCAACAAGACTGACCACAGAGAAACACGTTTCCAAGAGACGCAAACACTACAACACCAACGAAATTGCTGAAAAGCAGGCCTGTGGCATAATAGTTACTCAAATTGTGACAGTTTCTTGAAGCAAAATAAAATCAACGCACTCTCAATCTGCGATTCCTCCAAATTCCAGGACTATCAAAAGTCGTTTCAAAAAGTTCTTTTAGGATGGTTTACAGAAATACATGTATTACTGTTTTGCTTAAAATCAAATTACAAACAGAATTAAAAGTATTACATTGCAATGAAATATGTAAATCTGCTCAGTGTCGTATAATCCAGGGCCTTTATTCAACTCTAAAGGACTACAAATTCGAGACATCATTTAGAGAAGCATGCAAAATGCTAGAAATCTTACTGACGATTATGTCGATCCACAAGGACATCATTGACAGCATGCCCAACTTCGTCAACAGAATAATGGACACCTTTGCTGTAGCAAAAGAACGAAAGGAAAACTTCTTCTTCAAATAGATTTTCTCAAAACAGGTAGGATGAAGAAAACATCTCATTTACATGCCCTTGACTATCTTCAACCTGCTTTAACCTAATTGTGCACGCGCACTTTTTAGACCCACGAGCCGCCCCTGATTGATCCCAACACTCACCTATCAATGCCAAACATTAACCACGAACAAGACATTAGAGCAAAGAACTACAACATGTGAAATGCGATGTCTTAGAAAAGCCGTAAACAAGACCAGGCGAGACAAAATTGGAAACTCAGTAATCAGAGAAATAGTGGGCACAAATGATGTCATGCATCACATGCAACACCAAAGAATCAATAAATGGTTCGGACATCTCTTGCGATTACCAACACACCATCCAGCACAACGTGCCTACATAAAAAAACGATGGCAACAAGGCTAGAGGGCGACCGAGAAAGACTTGGATAGATGGAGTCAGGGAAACAATAACAACTCACAGGCATCCCCTAGACCCCAACTCTCCGGCTGGTGGCAGAGAGACGTCTCTTTCTTCCCACGACACCCAAAAGGGTATAAGCGGCGGATAAAAGTAAAGTAAAAGTATTTCAGTTTCTATGCTCTTCTGAAGCACATTATACAGGCTACTCAATAGACAGGGATTTAGAATGAACGAAATTGGTGCCCATTATAGGCTGAAGTCATTACTGGCTGTTTGCTTACAACCTACTAAACACATCCGGCCAGCGTCAGTGGTGAAGCGGTTAGGTGCTTAGCCGTCACAGGAGGGAGACCCGTGTTCGATTCCCGATTGGAAAAAAAGGGGGGGAAGGGGGTGTATCGAGTATCCAGGTCTGGCCGCAAGGGTGCTGTATCACTCTACTTTCGGGTTGGCCCTGATAGGGAGGGTCGGAAGCACGCCTCCTAAATGTACTAAATTGTGTCAATTGGGGAGCAAAACCACCTATATTTTGAAAAGCACATTCGGGGTCTTTACTTTCAGTGGGGCACGTATAGGTCACATGCATGAAAGACGCTTTTAAGAAATTGAGGAGGGAGGGTTGAAATTTACTTTAAAGGACGATTGTATTGAATGACGATGAGACAAATTACTCATTATCCGTTAAGTTTATAAGAGTAAAGTAGGTGCTGATGGCTGTAAATGTTGGCTTGCAACTGAAATGTCGTGGGTTCGAAAACCGCCCGGGGCCGGACATTGTGTTCTTTGAAGGGCACTTTATATAATTCTCCTCACTTCACCTGGGTGGGAATGGGCAGGCTTACCCGGCTATATAGTCAGTGTTTGAGCACTTACTAAGTTGCTTGCACTGTACGCTTCATGGGATGCCGTGAACGTTTCTGAGTGATTTAAAGTCTGCTGGAGTAATGATATACATTGTACAGCATATTTATTATAGAGCTTGCTGTTGAGCGGGGATGTGCGCTGTTCTCGTGCTTTATTATTATTTATTATTATTATTATTATTATTATTATTATTATTATTATTATTATTATTATTATTATTATTATTACACATGTATCTTCATCATCATCATCATCATCATCATCATCATCATCATCATCATCATCATCATCATCATCATCATCATCATCATTATTATTAATATTATTATTATTATTATTATTATTATTATTAGTATTATTATTAGTATTATTGTTGTTGTTGTTGTTGTTGTTGTTGTTGTTGTTGTTGTTGTTGTTGTTGTTGTTGTGGTTATCATCATCACCACCAGGCCCAACTACCATCATCATCATCATCATCATCATCATCACCATCATCATCATCATCATCATTATTATTATTATTATTATTATTATTATTATCATTATTATTATTATTATCATCATTATTATGATAAACATTTTCACTCACTTGGATATGCTTTCCGAAGCCTCTTCAAATTCCCTGTAGAGCTTAGTCCTGAACCATCTGTAGATAGGGAAGCGGTAGAAGCCCTCTGCGATGGAGCTCATAAACACCCGTACCATGTGAAGCAGCTGAGCTCTTTCCTCGGCACTGAAGCCAAGCGGGTGCGTGGTAGGATTGTGTGAGCCTTGGTCTTGGTCTTCCCTTCCTGCTATTGCGTCGGGGTTGCTATTTCGATAGGACGGTGAACTCTGGAGGAATCCCAGGCGAGCGTTGATGCAGTAAACTGCCGAGGCTGGGATTTTAGTTTTAGTTTTAGTAAGAGTTTTACAGCACTTGCAACACAATAAGGAGGTCAAATAAGTGCCGAAGATTAGAGGTGTTACGAGAGAGTAACAAAGGCAAAAACACAAAAAAGATGGAGGGGAGATGAGGATGATAGATGTTTGATAGAAAAGAAGGAGCAAACCACACCAGAGCACCCACCAACCACCCACAAACTGGGATTTAACAACGACAATCTTTACTCATCTTGCAAGGAGAATTTTGTCTGGAATGATTGTAATGGGGGTGATGTTACAACGGTCATGTGCACTCCCACATACACCCTGCAAGAAAGGATGTAAATACATGCATTACGTGCTGAAACACTCCCTTCATAACATTCTCCTTCCTCCCCTCTCCTCAGTCTCTCTCTCATTCTCTCCCCCCCCCTCTCTCTCTCTCTCTCTCTCTCTCTCTCTCTCTCTCTCTCTCTCTCTCTCTCTCTCTCTCTCTCTCTCTCGCTCTCGCTCTCGCTCTCGCTCTCGCTCTCTCTCCCTCTCTCGCTTTCTCTCTCTCTTAAAATTATTAGCTTTGTTTGCCTATAGCGAATGAGACAATGCCTGGAACGCATTACAGAAGATCAAAATTAAATGTGGTTAGTGCTGGCAGAGTAAAGCCTCAGCCCAATTTTCCTCTGTATCCTTTGTCGGGAAAAAGAGGTGGAAATGGGACATGGGGTGAGTTATAGAGAGAGAGTGAGAGAGGGAGAGAGAGAGAGGGGGGGGGAGGGGGGAGACAGACAGACAGACACACACACACACACAGAGAGAGAGAGAGAGAGAGAGAGAGAGAGAGAGAGAGAGAGAGAGAGAGAGAGAGAGAGAGAGAGAGAGAGAGAGAGAGAGAGACAGACAGACACACAGACAGACTAACAGATAAATGGACAATCAAATAGACGAACAGACAGACAGAAAATTGTGATACTTACATTCTATTGCGTATCTAAGAGCCAGGTCTTCAAGATCAAAACTTGCAGAATGCTGCAAGTTGTCCCCGAGCTCAGAGACCAGATCATCGGCTACCTGGCTCAGAGCGGGAATGTACTGGTGGATGTTGGCGGGCTGCAGCAGGAACTCCTGGACGGGCCGCCTCAAACGGAGCCACTCTAAACCTTGCCTGAGGACAGATCGTGGGAGTCACAAAAATAAATAATGGGAGTCACAAAATCGTGAAAGTCTTCAAATAATAATTAACTGAGTTGGAAATTAGCGAAACTAGACATCTATACATATTTTTCATGTTCATTTGTTTGGTTTTTTGTGATATTGGTTGTTTGTTGTTGTTTTGGGGTTTGTTTGTTGTTGTTTTTTTTTGTGTGGCTTTTTTGTTTGTTTTTTTGTTTGTTTATTTGTTTTGGGGGGAGTTGTTGGCCTGTTTGTTTTGGGGTTGGGGGTTTTTTTTCGGGAAAGAGGGTTATTGGGGGAGGGGGGTGGGGGTGTATCTTTAGAGGCTAAAATATTAATGATTTCATTCAGAGGCAAAGCGTCTATATAATCAAATAATCACTGCTTCCCTTCCTAATTTTGAAACATTGTCGCAGTCAAATTCACCCATAAACGTAAACTTTATAAATTAAACGTAAAAAGACGATCATAATCAACAATGAAAAGTATGCCTAACATTCTAAACGGTTTCATTGCCACAGAAATAGCCTGTTCACCCCTCTTGGGCCCCTCCATAAGCAGTCACAAGCTTTGATTAAGTAAGCTTATAGTGAGACTGAAAGAGTCTACCAACAGAGTTGGAGGGAACATGTGCATGGCAGTTAAAATTGTTTCATTGCCACATATACCCTGTTCACCCCTTTCGGGCCACAGTTATAATCAGTCTCAAGCACTGATTAGGTAAGCTAACTATTACACTGGTCGAGTCTACCTCACAGATGTGAGGGGAACTAACTCCTAATAATCTCTCGACTGCTTCGAGTGCTTGTTTTTTTTTCCACGACTTTTTACTGCCCTATAATCAGATCGTGACCTCGATTATGACACAGACTCGTGGCCACGAAAGGCTAGACAAAAAACAGCCAAAAGTGAAATTTAAAAAATGATAATTGTCATGTTCTACCAAAGAGTTAGACTCCCTGGTAGATCTATAACAATTAGATCTAGTACTGACATCTCTGCTTCTTTGCTTTGTGTTGTTGTATTCACCTCTAAAGTTAAATTCAATTTCAATTGGAATTGATATTTAATTTAATGAGATACTTTCCCGATTATTTTGGCGGTTGAACATACAATAATGAATTCCGGATTTGTTTTCATTCACAACTCTGAGTCGCCGCCTCGAGCAAGGTTCTTGTGTGATATCCCCAGGCCATATTTGGTCCCGTTTCACTTTGATTACCCTGTCAAACAAGTCAGTCTTCGCCCCTGATTTCATTATTTCATTGTGTGAAAATGTAATCAATCGCAAAGCTTGCGATCCTTCCCTGTAGTGCTGGGGAAAAGTAAAGCAGACAGACAGAAACATCAGAGGGGAAGTAAAGAAGTATAGTATCTACCAGTAGTGCCCTTCAATCACCTGGTAACATTATTGTAATCTGAGCACCACTCTATAGTTTCAGTAAACAGAAGAAAAAATGATAATGTCAGAAGACTAACACACAATAATTCCGTTCTATTTTACAACACATAATACGCACCCAAATACACATACACAATATTAATATGCATGCATGTGTACTCACACTTGTACACATGGATAAAAACACTCACATTTGTAAACTGACAGCAAGTGGTTTATATAATGCTGTTTTGCTCAACCTTTATTCTTTATTTTCCGGATATTATCTATATTTATTCCTTACTTACGACTGACTCAACCCCTTCTGCCGACCATTCCTTTCCACGCACACGTCGTAAAGCGGCGGAGACGGCCGGTGAGGACACGCCCCCTCGTGAGCTGAGGCCTCCTCGATAAGATCAGGATCGAAGAGAAGCACACTCCAACGTGATCCTTTCCGGAACTTCACGATGCTTCCATACTTACAGTGAAGCTCCGCAAATACAAGATGGGATCTTTCTAGTTTGTGGGGAGCTATTAGGACAGAAAAAGAGAATTTATTAGCTAAAGGGTTTGTTTAGTTGTTTGGTGCGGGGGGGGGGGGGGGGTTCAATTAACACCACGTTAAAAGCAACATAGACCAATTCGAAAGCAAACCACGTCCTGCTTTCAGGTAAAATTATTCGAACTTAAAACTGTTGTGTTTAGTTCCAATACTCATTTTACGGCACTATCGACACAATTTCTTTTTGTGCGAATCACAGCAAAATATTTAGCTTCGTGACATCAGTTTTATTTTAAAAGATAGTCAGTTGGGTTGTTTTTTAAACCGTGTTTTGGCTCTCTTCATGGTAATGCCAGCCCATCGGAGCTCCTTCTTCAGCAATATTGATTCAAGGACATTGATTTTCGGCGAAAAATTTATAGAAGAAGTTGGAGAGTCAAAGATACAGGACAGCCCCACTGTCTTGTCTTGGCAGAAAACCTTGACACAGTATCTCAAAGCGTTGTTACGTCTGGGGGACGCCTCCCCCCCCCCCCCCCACCCCAAATCACCCATTCTCCTTTCCCCTTTTCCCCTTTGCTAAAATATATCTTCTCCTTTTCTTTGCGTTCCGCTGCTAGATCTCTGGGGTAGTCTACTGCTGGTCCTTCAACCTGCAATGTAACTGATTTTTTAATATTATTATGTGACCGTTTTTTCATACTATGTACGGTCCTTCGCCTTCAGGCAGCCACATTCCGATTTCGAAGGTATTCTTTGTTTTTTTATGGGATTAAATTTTGATTTTTGATAGGGTGGCAGCCCAAGGCTACTGTAATTGGTTTTAGGACCATCAAAGGATCTTTACCAAACACAACTTGCACACGGGACACCTTGTTGAAGTGGATGATCAAGGCTTTTTTTTTTAGATCTTCGATGTGCTCTTGATGGTCTCCAAAAACAACCCCTGAAACAGTCTTCCGGCCTACTGGCCCATTGTTGGCCTTATCAACTATCGTCTGTCTCTCTCAATATATATATATATATATATATATATATATATATTATATGCACATACATTATATAATATATATTTTTTCATATAATATATATATATATATTGCAAACAAATTCTTCTTTATTCTTTACAAATAATTATACAACGTAAATCCAGACCTTAGCATTCCTGCAATAAAACCTAAGTTATGTAGCCAACACTTGACGACCGGCTGGTTGAATTGTTATTAACGTCCATTGACCTATCACTCGGCATTGCTAGCTGTAAACATACAACTAAGGTCAGTAATTAACCCTTTGAGGACGACCATTCTGGTTACTCCACAACGTCTGAGGATACGCAGTTTGGGGGAACATAACTGCATTATTCAAATATATTTTTACTTTTGTTTTATGTTTATCTAACTGAAACTTTAAGCGGTGCGCAATAACATGAATATTATGAACTTTTAATATATTAACTTGCGTTTCTGATTTATGTATGATGGTTTGGAATGTTCCTACAGAAAACATTGCCTTTAGTTAGCTGCTGATCCGACGTACCTGGAGTGTGGTTGGCGGGTGCTCTTGTGTAGTTTGCTCCTTCTTTTCTATCAAACATCTATGTTCATTTTCTGTTATTATTCATTTTTGTGTTTGTTACTCTATTCTAACACCCCTAATGTGAGGTACTTACAGGGCCTTGTTGTGTTGCACGTGCTGTAAAACTCTTACTAAAACTTAATCCTAAAGTTTACCTGAAACCTAAAAAAGATAACAACATGAATACTGTAAAACATGTAAATTTGGTTCTC